TATACGTCTGCATACATACATATATGTATATATATATACGTATATCCAGACTCAAGCACCACTCGATGCCGAGGCTCCGCCACTCCGGCAAGAAGAACGATGATGGCGGTGGTGGTGGAAGTGGTGGCGGCGGATATGGTAGGGCTGTGAACTGGTGCTGATGGGTGTGGTGGGTGTTGGTTTGGTTTATTAGTATGAGTAGGTTACTAGGGTATTTTGTTCAATAAAAAAGAATTGGATTTGATGAATTGTTAATTGAATGTGTCAAAGGACAATAATGTCAATTCACCATGTGTAAAACCCATTAGGGGTGTCTTTACTCTTTGTTAACTTTATCAAACCCGGGGGGCATTTTTGTTCAAAAAAGGGCTAAATTATATATGGTTGTCAATACAACAAATTTAAGGGGGTGTCATTGTAATTAACCCTAAATTAATTAAAGGTATGCAAAGAAAGTACCATTTTACCCTCAAGTTCAATAAGCAAAATTCCTTACATCATGCTTGATGTAATCAAAATAATATGAAATTACTTCTCTGACCCTAAAAACTCTAATATCTTTTTTCGCTCGTAATCAACTTTCTCTCTCAGAAACACACATAGGGGTGTGAATGAACTGAGTTGAGTTGAGTTGAGTTGTGAGTTATTCAAACTCAACTCGAACGTAAGTGAGCAAACACGAGCTCGGCTCTGTGAAAAATAGAGTTACGCGGAGTGCGGAAACAATCAGTTGATTTTAATTGTAATTAAATTCTTTAATGACCTAGATCTGATTATTAAGTCAACGTACTCAATTTATGATTGATTAAATTATATGATCAATTTAAACATACACAATAAAAAATATATGTAAAGTAAAACAAGTCAGAGTTAGAGAGATTGCAACAAGATTTTAGCAAGGAAACCCTAGTTGATAAAATACGTCAACTGTTTGCATGGGAAAAACCTCGTGTACTATTCAGTCCAAAGTAAACTGATTCACTATGTTTGAAACAAAGTACACCAAACTTTGACTCTGGCTCACACCCTATCGTTCTAGCAAACACCAATTGCTGACAATCCTCTGGCTTTGCGACTCCCCGTCCAACAGCAACTTGACTTCAAGCTTATACTTGATATTTGTAAAAGAGTAACAGGTAGATCAGATAACACTCCTCGAATGCTCCAACCCTTTCAAAGTGTGATCATTTTTACTTCTGTTCTTCAAGATCTGAACTCGATGTAGAAGAATTAAATCCTGTTCTTCATACGAAATATCTAAATCTTCAATATATCTCCAATTCCGATGAGATAAAGAATAACACCACTAAATCACTCATGAATATATGTGTATGCTCTCATAAATAAATTCAGAATAATCAGATTTGATTTTCTGAATTTTCTCTCTCTAAAAGACTTTCTCAAAATATGGAATTGATTTTCCCTAAAGCCATTTCTAAACCTAGAATACTAACAAGGTTTATATAGAGTTTAGAAAGTCCTAATCCCTCAGAAAATATGATAAATTTCGTGCATAGGATTTAGAAAGAAATTAGGATCAAAAAGGAAACCAACAGAACATGGAAACTGAAAACCTGATGCTGTCAGGACTCCTGGAACTGGTTCCCAAATCTTGGTACCGGTTCCCAAAGGGTATAATGGTTTTTGACGCTCTTTGGCTACCAGTTCCCATATGTGTTACCAGTTTAAGATTAATTGGCAATGACCAGACCTTTTGTGAACCAAGGTTTCCTACCGATTCAAGGTTTGTGCTACCGATTCCTAATGCCCAGAAACATATTCTATGTTGCATTCACCTTTTTAAACTCCCTAAATGTCTTACTCACTCACATATCTTCCTAAAGCATTTTTCTCTCATCTCGAAGTGTAGCAATCCATGAACACTTGAACTTCTTTAAATCCGCATCCGATTTTCAATCTTTGAATTTTAGAACGGAAAAATTACAACTCGATTATACTTGTTTTGACAATGAAATTAGCCAATTATAAAATTTATATCTCACAGGCTTAGCTAGCTCGTTTAATTTACAGAGCCGAGCTCTATTCTATGCTTTAATATTTGATAATTCGCTTAATGCCAAATAAATCTTAATTTAAGTACTATGTCCTCTAGCAATAGCTTTAAAAATAAAAATAAGTAAACAAAACACAAAAACTTAATTATTATTTAGTGGAAAGACTTTAAACCATGATGTGAAGACGTTGTATGGTAAAGTGTTCACCTAAAGGTAATCCAGTAATTTTGATTATTATAAATCATTTAATGGTATTTTGGCATTAATGTCTACATTGAGTATTGTCTTAATGTCTACATTGACTGTTATTCTAGGTACGATCATATTTTCAAAATAAACCTCAATAAAGCAAAAATGATCAAAGTCCCATTCCAAGTATTTCAATGCACATGAAGACATCAATGGCGAAACAATGGACATAGAAATGACTTGAAGTTGGAGAAGTGGTAGAATTATTCAAAGTTGACTTGGACCTCAAAGACAATGAATTCATCTCAAAGGTCAATCATGCAACTAAAACATTAATGAAGAAACCTCAAAAGCTCAAAGAACAATCACAAAGCTTGAAGAATGGGATATATAGGTTGGTGAGTGCTTATGATTCAAATCATAATTAATTAAGAGAGAAAGAGAGTTTATATAATCTTAGAGAGTCCTCAAAATTTATGAAAAAATGTTTTAAAATCGCGCAAGGACTTTTCTAAGAGATTGGGGGAAAAAAAAAAAAGAAATTAAAAAGTTACTAAAATATGATTTTTTGCACATTCAGGAAAGTGCTACCAATCCGATTTGAAAGTGCAACCGGTTGTATTTTGGCCGAGAGCTGTTTTTTTGACCTGCATGAAGTGCAATGTGTCCTAACTCACATGTTCTAAATGATGTTCTTATCGGATCGAAGTATGCGTGCACTTATTGATCGGCTTTTGACATCGAGACTCGAAGGTAAATAAAAAATACAACTTGATCAAACATGTTTTGACCCGAAATTTACCAATTATAAAATTTATATCTCACGTACAATATATTCCTCCACCAATCATATCATGTCACGTGAACTATAAGAAAAAAGTTCCTCCTGAAGGAGGGAATTATCATATTTTTTTTTTACTATTTTTTTTTTTTTTTTTGGTTTCGTAATCAAGCCAATTATTCACTTTACGTAAGGGTAAAATACACTAAGGCATTAAGAGGGTAAAATCATGCAACCTAGCAGTTGGGTGAATAAATTATGTTCATATTCTTGGAATCAATTTTTTTTATAGGTAGTGTTACTACAATTTTTCAACAACATCAATTATGCAATCTAAGCAAAAATACGAGAATTTTTTTTAATAGATAATAAGAATAAAAAAATGATAAGTTACATTAATTTTTCTTTAAAATTTGGACAAATTATACATTGATAGACCGTTCAATGTTTATTACTTTTAACTACCCTAAATTTGTTCGCCGTTGTTTGAAAGTAATTTTGAATATGAAAAATTATTAATGCTACTTACCTAGACGGGGTCAATGGATCAACAAGGCCCATGGCCTAAGTTTTTAACAAAATAAAAAAAAGAAGAAGTTATTAATGCTACTATATTATAATAATATATTATTTTGCATTTTATATAATACAAGGGCAAAGTTGTATTTGTATAAATCAATCCATTACGTGGTTGATTGAAAAATTACAAGTCTTCCTATCGGCCAAAGAATTGATTTGCTGAGTATCCAATAGAACAATACCAAAACGTATTTGCAAATGTCGCCATGAATGACTTGTACTTCACGCGATTGTAGAGAGTTGGGCTATTTTGACTTTGGTAAAAATAATTTTGGAATTATCATAGTCAAATCTCAAATGATAAATTTTTATTAGTTAGTTAATACTCACACAAATATATGAAGTTTGAAGCCATGACCCATTTAGAAAGTAAGAATCTGATATTTGCCACGGCCTTTGAAAGACAAGTTAACTATAATAGGCTATTGGAAGAACTGAAACTGCATTGATTAATAATTCTAGGGATTACAAAGTGTGAAGTACAATTAACCAGGAAATGAACTGAACTAAGAACATGAAATGAAACTATGCTAAGGAAAATGAAAGTTACATAAATGTAAAGAACGAGTAAAAGGACGGGTTGTTTGATGTGTTGATTGAGGAGAGAGCCACAGATTTTCATTTCTTCCTTCTATAGTAGTTTCTGTAATCTGCAGATAACCGCTACCATATCTTCCAATCGTCCTTCTGCTGATATTTGATTATAACATTATAACATTAATATAGCAAATTGCAAATTCACTCCGCAATCACTTGATTTACTTACCTTGGCGAGAACATGCTCAAGCAATGTGGGAATTGAAAGCTGCGTTAGTATTCCACATCCAACTCAGGCTGTTGTATTTGCCTATCCAAGAGGTCAGATGCAACATGAGTAGATGACTCTGAAAAAGATTAGGAGAAGAAGAGAGAGTAAGTTGAATAGAATTGTTTCCAACTCTTGCTTGGCAAAATTGATTGAACCATAAATTAGCCTTATTACAAAGTACAATACCTTTTATAAGCTTTCTTTAAAGTAGGTTTTTATGTCCAGAAAATGATTTTAACCAATGAAGAGTTGGAAAAAAATAAATAAATAATCTTGAGCAAAGTAGCAGATGCAGCAGGAGAGGTTAGAGTTGGTTCCGAAATTCTGTAAAGAATGTTTCTAGACTTGTAGTAAGAAGTGTTGAAATTTGTGTGATATAGAATCAATATACAGTAATAACAAAAATTCGATAAAATCGCTGGTTTTGGATTTTCAAACATGCTGAACAAATAGTATAGAATTTTTCCCCTATCCAAGTACAAAGATAATCAGCAGATTAACCACCCAAACAAAGGTAGGAAAAAGAGAAACCATTTAACTATTAGAAGAAAAAAGTACAGCAGTGGTGATGATGATGCCAACCTGGTGAGGACCTTTTCCAGCTTTCTCTTCCCCGAAGTTTCACCATCTATGGTAAGCGACCTCTCGGAAGTTGGATCCAAGAAATGGGGATGTGAGATATTTTATCGTAATCCTCACCGTTTTCTTTGTCCAGGCTATTTGCTACTTTATGAGAGACACCACAGAACTCAAAGAGTTTAAGTTTTCGTAGACCTTCAATGCCTGAGGGCACATCCTTAACGGCTCCACAATCGATGATAAAAAGATTTTCAAGTTCAGCCACTGCACCCGGCTCCACTTCCACCCGTTCCAACTTGTTTAATTCAGAAAGCTTCAATGTGTTGAGGTTCCGAAAACCCCCACCCCTGAAACACAGTTGTGTCCCTTGGTAAGCTCGATGAAGCTCAATATGGACCAGGTTGGGCAAATCTCCAAGCGATTGCAGTGGATCATTTGTCAACTCGCTCCATCCTAAATATATTTTGACCAAGGCACTAAGAGAAGATATCCAATTCGGAAAAGAATCCAACTGCCCGGACAAATATAATCCTCGGAGAAATTGAGGCCGCCAAGACAGAGATTGAATACCATCAATCTTCTCCCCTGTTGTTATTGAACTTATAGACAATGAGCGAAGGTTGGTCAGCTTTTCAATGGAGGAACACAGTGCCGGTCCATCTGCACTTTTCAACTTTACAAGCCCTAATCTCCTCAGTTGGGTCAAATTCCCCAGCTCTTTCAACTGATCACGACTTGCGTCAATGTAACAGAGCTGTTGTAGGGATGACAAACTTGCTATTTTTGTTGCGACAATATTAAAACCTTGAATGGTCGGATAACCACCTTCAGTAACCTTCTCATTGTCTGTACCACCTACCAAGAGATGGCGAAGTGCTCTGAGCTTTGTGATGGCAACGGGCAACACAGTGACACGTGTGTGCTTGAGATCGAGAGTTTCTAGTTTCTTAAGCTTCCCAATCAAGTTGGAAATATTTCTCACCTTCGTTCCCCTCAAGCTTAGATATCTGAGATGGAATAGTTTGAAAACTGCATCGGGAAGTACTTCCACTGAAGCATCTTCCAATTCTAGAACCTTCACCAGCCTCAATTTACCATCAGACAACATTTGCATATATGAATTCGATACTGAATCTGCCACCCCAAACATGAGCAAGGAACGAAGTTTAGAACAACGCGTGCTATCTGATTCATTTGCCAAGATCTTGTGGATTGCCAGGCGTCGAACTTCATACGGGTCGTTGTTGCCAGCTATTGATACAATGTTCTGTTTCCTTGACATCCAAGTGATCAGATCACGCCAGGCTTCATGGATACGACACGTTTCGACTCTTCCATCTCTTGTTCTCTCTGCTACTTGGATCAAACTTCTACAGATGAGGGCTGAGAGGTAATCCTCTGCGACTTCTTCTTTCGACATATTTGAGTTGTCAGTCGGCTCGTCTCCCACAAATCCTTCTGCTATCCACAATCGAATCAATCTCATGCGCTTGATTTGATGACCCTCCGGAAAAATGCTCAAGTATAAGAAACAAATTTTTAGATGGAAAGGCAAATCAGTGTAACAGAGAAAGAGTCTATTTCTCATGCGAGTAACTTCGCAGTTATCTTGTAACCCAAGAAGAAGGCTTCTTTTAAGCCTTTCCAATTTTTCACTCACATTATCCTTCTTAACAGCCAGAGCCAGAACGCTGATAATTGCCTCGATTGCGAGCGGCAACCTATCACATTTTTCTAATACATCCTCAAAATCATCTTTGAGAAGTGGAGGGCAGGGTTCCCCCGGGAATACCTTTTTACAAAAGAAATTCCAAATACTTTCTTTTGACAAGGCAGTCAAAGGACATATATCAGTCTCACCAATTCCTTCTTGCAGACGTGTTGTAAGTATGACTCTGCAGCCCCTTCTGTTGTCAGGCAAAGCATTTTTTACCTGATTCCATGTCTCAGCTTCCCAAACATCGTCAAAAACAACCAAGTAGTGCTTTTTCTGAAGAAATTTTTTAATATTTTCTCTCAGTATTTCGGTCGTGTTCATCTCTTTCACCGCTTGAGGGACTTCTTGTTTTTCTTTGTAGAGCTCTACAATCATGACCTTTAAGAGGTCCTCAATATTGGGTGATTTACCCACAGGGATCCAGACATGGCTGTCGAAACGTCCTTCCTTTCGCATATCCTTATAGACAATTTTGACAAGGGTGGTTTTACCGGATCCTGGGGATCCTACCACAGAAACCACTCTTAGTGGTGAACCCCCCGCATCCACGAAATTAATCAGGTCCCTTTTGCGCTCGAACATGTCCACAAGATCATCTTCGTTTGCATCGCCTCGATCATAATTATGCGGTTGGTTGGTAACAGAGGTGGAGGAGCTTGGTTTTGAGGTAGGAGGCGGCCGCTTACTGTATCTGTCATATCGAGCAGAAGCAGCCTGGACTTTACGGTTGATCTTTCCTATTTCAGAAGAAATGTCCCAACGGACTTTTAAGTTCACGACAGGACGAGAAGTCTTACTAATCCACACGAGGAATCCCTTCCCGTGAGGATGCTCCAGGCGAAGCGTGAATTCATCAAGAACATCTTCGGTCTCATAAGCAATCACCCGCACTTTCCCAACCCAATCTTGGAATTGGTTGTCACTCTCTTCTATTGCTTCACTTTCAAGGAATACCTTTATGCTCTCCAGTTCATCTCTGAGGTGCCCAACTTCTTCCTCAACTCCATACATCTGTTTCCCTTTTTCCACGATTAAGGGAATGAGATTTCTCGCTACCAAGTAGGCTGCCTCAGCCAT